GTTCTTAATTCATCTTTGACGTCTGTCTGTTTTTCCGATTTTTTTTTTAAATGTATAAATTCTACTCATTTTAAATGGTTAACTTAAGTAATTCATTTGGTTAAGTACTCAATTCTAATTTGTTAAATTTAATTAATAATATTGATTGTAATCTGTTGCCTCAATTTTATTTATAGATTTAACATATTCAGTCGTATTCATTTTTACAGCGTAAGTGATACCACGTTTTTTGTACATTTACTATGGAAATAGCATGTTGTCAGAGTAGCATGACTTTACTTGTACTCCAGAGCAGGTGCATTGCAGGTAGTGGTATGTTGTCCCAAGCAGGCACTTGAAAAATAAAGTTATGACCTTTCCATAAAGTATCATGGTGTTACCAAATAATGTACCATACTGCCAAAGTAATTTTATGTATGAGTTATACTATGGTACAGAGAAGCACAAGAGTGATATTTTTAACGTGAATGAATACGAAAAAGAAACCAGCAACAGAAGATTGATATGCTTTAATAAGATATCAGTGCAGAGATACAACTTATTGGGTAAAATTTCCCATACAGTAATGTCAACAATAATCATAATAACAGTATTATAATAATGTCAATATACCTTTAGCATATTAAAATATGTATTTGCTTACTTTTTAATGAGAACCTGCTTAATTTGTGAATAAGCATCCTAATGTTGTCTTTAAAGTCAAAGAATAACCATGAAACCAATCAAGCAAATAAGGGCAGTACTTAACATTCAAAATTCATATATCGTAATGGGTTCGTGGGGTCTCAGTCTGGTGATTGACCTTCATAGTAGTAGATATTAAACAGACATACATGTACCAGTACTCTCTGCACATTCAAATGCACAACTGTAACAACATCATCATCATCATCATCATCATCATCATGGCTGCACTGCTGTGAGAAAACTACAGACTGGACCACAAGTTTACCATTTCCCCCGTTGGCATTAATATCTGAAAATTCAAGTAATAAACATTGGTTTATAGCATTGTTTTCAGTGACTATGTCAGTAAATGGGCACTGACCTAGATTTGCTAATGTTAAAGCACCAGGTTAAATATGAAATTATTGCCATTTACTAAAAGCATGTGATTTTTTCTGCCCCAGCCATAAAAAAAAAAATCAATTCAATGTAGATGGTTTATTTGGGGAATAACAATATATTTTAGACACAAAGAGTGTTCCACCTTGACAAAACTTGGACACTTGTTATGTCTACCAGTCTCTTTCCTACTCTCATATTGTGTCTACTGTAACAACCCGGTCTCATCCCAAGACGTCATATAACTGACGTTTTGGGACGTCTTTTGACCATACGTCAATATTCGCCTTTTTAGGGCCCCCTTAAACGTCGGTAGATGAGGTTATGGGATCCTAACTCTACCCCATACCTAAACCTAACCCTAAACCTAACCCGTCACCTAACTGACGTTAAAGGTAAAGCGTCAGTTGTATGACGGCCCGGGATCGCCATCTACCGACGTTTAAGGGGGCCCTAAAAAGGCGGATATTGACGTATGGTCAAAATACGCCCCAAGACGTCAGTTATATGACTTTTTGGGATGAGACTGTGTTAACTGTAACTGTCTATCACCGTACCAGATAGGAGTGTCAATCTATGCCAGACTTGAGCATGGAAATCTAGTCTGTGAAATCTAGTTTTGAAACTACAAATTGTAGCACGTTTCAGATAGACCACGGAACACGACGGAAATTGTAGTTCGTAACAAATTTAAGGTGATATAATTGGACTACTATTTGACAACTTCTAGATTACTTTTGACCTAACTTCTGTATCACACAGATTTAAAATAATTTTGCACCACATTGATATAAAAATACAAAGAGAAAACAATATATATTACAATCTACATCTTTAAGTGCTTTAGGGGTTTGTAATTGATAAAAAGCTAATTCTTAATTCAAATAATAAAAATGTAATATACAAATAAATATTTTTAAAAATAAAAACAAAACACTAAGAACAAATATATTATATTTAACGCCATGTCAAATGTAAAGAGAAATATATATATATATATATATATATATATATATATATTTAAATCAGATTATGAGCATTTTAAATATTTATGGGTTTTTTTGTTGTTGTTGTTGTTTTGGGGGTAAACAGTAATAAAAAAAATATATGCAGTAAAATCTTTAAAACAGGAACAATTTCATATAATCTTATAATACAATTTACATGTTTTTTTTTTTGTTTTTTTTCCCTCTTTGGAGATCTAGACACATTTCGTGCCACTCTTGTGCTGTTATTAGATTTGCTTAGTTGTGCATAGCCACTCTTTTCAGATACATATTTGCCGTAATCCATCATAAACACACACATCTCCGGTCTGCTCACAAAAACTGGCTTTTACTTTAAAAACTGGATGGTGTGCCAAACCTACTTTGAATTACTTTAAACCTTATGTCACACTTTTTTTTCCCACAGGGGTTTACATTTACATTAGAATTTAACAGAAGATCTAAAGTTCTTTGAGAATGTGCGTAAGCATAACCATACAACAACCATAGATCTTGCTACATTGTTACATATTGCAGACATCATACAAATAGACAATTTGGATGCTTTAGAATTCAACTTTAAAGACAACCTTAGGGCAATTCAAATAAAAAGATACAAGCATGTATGCATATGGGTCAGAGTGCATAAAGCACCATCTTTAAACAATGCAAAAGAGATAACTAAGATTAAAATGAAGGATCCAGTATGCTACATATCTAAAACAGATTTTTTTTTAAACTCTAAATTTTGAATCCAACTGGCCTGCCAATAAATGTAATATGCATTTGCATATTTCCAGAAAATGCCACCAAGAACAAACACAGGACACCAGCACTGCAGACTCTATAAGGACTCTGGTTCACATCTACTGAGTAGACAAGACAAAGTACCAGAACAAAAAATTGCTTAACTTTTTCAAAGTAGAAATCTATAGTAGAAATCTTAGAGCATATTCCTTTAAATATGTATGTTTACAGCTAAATTGACAAAAATATATGTTTTTAAAGTGGTCTCCACTATAAGGCAATAAACAGATTCGAAGACAGAAACAGTATCGCTGCTAATTAAACAAAGGCACATGAATAACAAAAACATTGAAAGTGGTCAGTGAAGACAAGGTTTAAAGACCCCATGAAATGGCGTGCGAGCACAATTTTCTTTCCTTTGTTGAAATTTCCTGCCGAAACAGGAAGTTTGGGTTGGAAATATTGAATATTTTATATTTTTTTTATAAAGTGCCTTTATGTTATGTTACAGTGTTGAACCGTGATTTGCTATTTACTATCTGATTGCAGAGGGAAGGACATGCTCATTCAGAGAATCTGATTGGATAAAAATCATTGTAGTAGTGCAGGATGATGATGTCATCAAAATTTTTCAAAAAAAAAAAAAAAAGTCTAGCTTTTAGTAGTACACTAGCACAGTGGTTCCCAACCTTTTGTCATTGAAGCACATCTCCTTAAGTATTGGATATGTTGGTTTAGTATAATAATCCATGTAATTTGATCGTTTTTATTCAATAATTTTTTATATTTCACAATTTTATTCATGATAAATTACATTTCCTGCATTTCATTTAGTAGAACACAGGTAATATCAGTTCTCTAATAATTGTTCTTCTGGAACAGTTTTGCCATTTCTGCTTACTATACTGTATTTGTAGCCCTCAATAGGGTCAATCGACTTTTACTTAACAAAAAAAGGTTCCCTTCATCTCAGTGGAATAAGATTTTGTGACATATATTATCTATCTATACGCACACAAAAAACTGGGCTTGATTCGGTTGTTCTGAAGGTATGTAAAAAAATGAATGGGAAATGTGAAAAAAACTACATATATTTTCTTCATGTGTCAAAAAAAAAAAAAAACAAAAAAAAAAACGGCATTAATCTGAAAATTTTTACACAGAAATTAAGGCCTAGTACTAGAGCATAAATGCAATGTATCATAAAAAAATAACATTTCATATGCTAATGCTAAAGCTAAGAGTGTAGTTGAGGAATTGTGTGGTATATGGATATAAAAGTACTTTATATCTCCAAAAACACATTTTTAATGAATAGATGAAAAGTAAACAAAAAAAGATATATTATTTGTATGATTAAAAATGTATATTTTTTTGTAAAATTAATGAATTTTTGGGGTCGTATAGACCCCGAAGCCCAGAAATGTAAACAGGAAACAAAGACCAATAGAAGGTTAAGGGGCTTGTTTTGAGAATACAATCTTCTACCTAAAGCACAATATATTATATATATATATTAGACTAGGTTGCTTTTTTTAGAGCTATCTGGCAACCCCTAATTTGGAATGAACCCATTTGTGTGAGGGAAGTGTTGAGAAGCGAGTGGAAGGAGAGCAGGACGTGTATGCAGACTTTTGTTAATACTATTGATTATTTAATAAAGAGGCTTTGAATTACACACACCTTGGACTCCAGGTTGGGAACCACTACACTAGCATATAGACAAGCTAAAAACTGACATTTTGATCTCATGGGGTCTTTAATGTTGTGTCAGAGGTAGGAAAGTTAGAACAAATAAAAGAAGTTAGAACATTTAAAAACAAGTAGCTTACAATAGATTCTTTTTTTCCGACATTGATAGAGAAAAAGACGAGATATGCTATATGATAATATAAGATAAATATGCTAAAAGCAGTTTCAATTAAAGGGAAACTCCACTCTTTTTTTTGGAAATGGGCTCATTTTACAACTCCCCCAGAGTTAAACAGTCGAGTTTTACCGTTTTCGAATCCACTCAGCCGATTTTCTGATTTTTAGATGAATATCAGTAACCAGACAGTTTCTGGTCTCATTGACTTCCATAGTATATATTTTTTCCTACTATGGAAGTCAATGAGACCAGAAACTGTCTGGTTACTGATATTCTTCTAAACATCAGAAAATCGGCTGAATGGATTCAAAAATGGTAAAACTCAACTGTTTAACTCTGGGGGAGTTGTAAAATGAGCCTATTTCCAAAAAGAGTATCCCTTTAAATCATCTTACAAGCAGAGAAACACAGCTGAAGACAAAACAACATTTAAACTCCTCCAAAAATACTTAAATTCGTTCAGAAACTATCTCGCAACTAAAAAAAATAGCACATGTATATAATTTATGAAGATGTAGACAATAAAAATAGAATCAAAGCTACATTTGTCATGTATGCAGTCAGGTAGGTACAGTACGGTATGACTGTAAGAGGGTGTATAGGCATGACCGAGGTGTGCTAAAGCTGGGATGGTTATTGTCAAGTTGGTGAGGGTGAGATGAGTGATAGGGTTGGGTAAAGTGGGACTGCATTTCTGTGGGATAATGTAGAAACTGGTCTAAGTGGCCTGGTCTAATGCTCTTAGGAGGTCACAGCCCTGCAGCAAATGAAGATTGCCTTGCAACGGGACGTTGACCTCACAGTCGTAACGCGTCAGTTCAGGCAGAGAGCAGGTCTCGAAGGAGGGCCCGATAAGACGACTCGCAATTCCTGCGAAACACAACCAGTTCAGAGAATCAGCATCAACAGTGCATTAAGTACAAATGCAGATGCGTGAATGTATCATTTAAGAGCTCACCATCCATTTTGGAGAAAGGCTGAATGTTGAACTCTCTGTAGTTACAACACTGTTCTCGGAAGCGCTTTGCTGCCTGATCATCCGAAAACTGAGTCTTCCTGTGCTGGTGCTCCATGCCTCTATTATGAGCAATGTCTTTGTCTAGGTATGAATATATTTGATTATTGATTCATTTCCTCAGCTGCTAAATTCATTATTCATTCAGCTGCTAAAATCTTCTAACATTTTGCTATAAAGTGCCACAGTGCCATCCACTTTTTCAGCGGCCTTGGTTCTGAAATTGTCCCATTCATTTTTAAAAAGTCTTCATTAAATAGTTTAAAACCATGAAAAAAACCAACCAGCTACAAGGTAAATAAAAAATTACACAAAAACTTGAAAGTTTGTTTTTAAGTTTTCTTAAAAACACCACTTTGGCCGTGTGTCCACCAAAGCGTTTTTCCACACGCCTGGCGTATGTTTTCTTTTTTTTTTAATGGGAGCGCCGCGTTTTTTAAACGCCATGAGCGTAACGAGGCGCTGAGTGGTTTTTCCACACTGAAGCGCCGGGCGCCCAGCGTTTTTACCGATCACAGTCCATCACAGTGGAGGAGGGGCGGGACTAATACCACACCGACCAACTGTCACAACATTCTTTCTATACAACGACATCAACCAGCAGAGCTAACTGAACAAAATGGATGAACTTTTTTTTTTTTAGTATGAAACAAATTATCTGCGAAATCAAACATTTTTTTTTAGTACGAAACAAATTATCTGCGAAATCAGTTACAAGTAAACTCTGCTGCAGATATTCTGTATCATAGCAACGAAACGTCTCAACAGGAAAAACGCTGCACTGCCAAAACGCACTCAAGTGCCCAAAGCATGGCATCTTCAGCAGAGCGTCTAGCGTTTTCAGTTGGCTAAAAACACTTTGGTGGACACACGGCCTTATAATCAATCTTCAGTGTAATACCTGACAAAGCACTAGTGTCGAGTGATTTCCTCTCCATGACGGCACAACTCTCATGCCGAAGTCTCTTCCACACTGTCTGTTGTGACTTAGTGGCGGGTGTCTCAACCTAAAACATATAGCATGATGTAAGACTATACTATAAGATGTACCATTTAAACAAAAATATGGGATTGAATATATATATATATATATATATATATATATATATATATATATATATATATATATATATATATATATATAATACAATCAGGCAAATGTTTGGATATACTGGACCAGACTGAATTCATATTAGTCATGATCTTAAAAAATAGTGATGCAAACATTAATTGTTTTTACCAAAACCAAAATGTAAGTTTTCAATAGGCTGAAAACCAAAACCAAATTAATTTAATCAAAACTCAATAACTCAAGCTGAATATAAACATTTCAATCGCACATATAAGGCACATTTTTTTAAAAATAATTTTAAACTTTTTATTTTTTCAAATATTTATTTTATAATTTTGGAATATTGTTTCTATATTTTGCTAAACGCAAATTTTTTTTCTAGCTGACTAATGAGGCATCGACATTGAACGGCTCCAATACTTTCATTCTTGTTTATTTCATGTTAGCAAAGAGGAATAGATGCTGCAACTACAAGGATCTGTCACGCAACATTAAAGATCATATTTATTGCTATAATTTAATTCTAAAATTGACAGAATTTGAAAGCTGAGTGTTAGTTTCATACAAAAATCCACAAAGCTAACTGAATTATTATTGATCGACTATTGAACGATATGTGCATTTGAAATAATGTTTTATTCACACATCAATAAAATCGAAAAGATTTTACTATTAAAAATAAGAAATTGACACAGCTGACATGTTTACGCTTAATAACTTATGCAAGTTGTGTTCAAAAATTAATAGTCAAATGTGCCTATTGGAACTCTTTCAAGATTTTTGTTTAGAAATTCATGCTAAAAACTACAGGAAATTTGTTATCATTGAAGTTTATCATTCTAAACTGTGGAAAGTAATATCCAAACCTTTGCCTGGAAGTGTATTATTTTAATAAACTCAGCAAATCATGCCATTTCAATTTAAAAATGAACCAACCGTGGTCATCTGCGTGAACGAGCGCTTGAAACTGTTAGCGAGAGCAAGTCGAGCTGGACTCATATCTCTGTAGTTCTGCGCAAAGTTCTCGACGGGCCTGCAAAACAAACACAGGTGTCATCCAATGCAAATTCTACTGAAACATCCTGTAATATGCAGAATTACCTTTGCAAATAAGATGGCATTCGATTTGCTGGCACGGTTTGGCAAGAGCGCTTTGCAGCTAAAGGATCCATCATTCCAGCCTTGCTGGGTAATGGACGGTCAGGTGGCCACTGCAGATTCTGACGCCCTCCCATAGAGGACAGTGGGGTGCTGGCGGGATCATTGTAAGGAGGCATCTGCATGGGACCCCTGCTATAGGGAACAGACGGCCATGACTCCACAGATCCCCCGTTGACACTCTGCTCATCCCTTCCTGAACTCATGTTGGGCTGGAAGGGATCTGCTGAAGGCGACCCCAAGGGTTGGAAGAGGCTTGTAATGTTGCTGAAACTCTCCTTGTTAGTTACCAGGCCTCCGACCTCAGAAACAGGCTCCTCCTGGCAGATGGGATTGAGCTGGAAGTCCTCACCGTCCATGGGGATGTAGGGAGCCAGCGTCTCCAGATCCAGATCACTCAAGTCAGTCTGGAAGGGTCATGGTCAGAAAGAATAAAATCTATGTGCAACACCTGTTTTTTTCCCCCACTGAATCTAATATTGACTAGAGGTTGCACAGACTAATCGACTAGTAAACTTTTATGGTCTGTCATGATGCTTGGAGCTTGATGTCGACAGGTCGCTGATCATAGTTTATAGTGTATAGGCGCAACGGGATAAGAAATCCTTGAAATCCACTGTTTTACACAATGTTTCCAACAGTTAAAATGACAAATAAATACTAGGGCTGCAACAACTAATCGATAAAATCGATTATAATCGATTATGAAAATCGTTGTCAACGAATGTCATTATTGATTAGTTGGTCTGATTACGTCACGGGGATTGTTTACATGCTACATGCGCTTCTTACATGCGCTTCATGAGGCACACACGCAGTCTCTCTCCCTCGCCGGTCTGTGCGCAACACGGACGGTTTGGAGCATATCTTCTGTCTCGCATGCGCACTCTTGATTCCGTGAGTTTGAACTAATTTGCGGGCATCAGGAAACCGCTATCAATATGCAGCATACACGAAAATCATTCACCTTTCGGCAAATTCGCCATTTTGAAACCAAAATAGGTGACCTGCGTTAATCGTGTATACTTTATTAAGCCATACTGTAGTATAATGTGAGATAGAAATGTAATTTTAAGTCATTAAATTCAAGTTAACGTAAGCTTTTCCCTCCACTGCGGCTGTCAGTCATTCTCTATTCGGTGTTCAAACAGCGCGTCGCGTTACAACAGTTAACATGATGAAACTCTTTCCAAGATGATTCAATGTTATTATTAGAATTGATCCGTAGATAAAGGTCTATGGTTTCGTAATATAATGACTATCTTGCTAGACTTTTATTGCTGTAACTTAATCACTTTCTACTGAGTGTCTGTTAGATCACAACACTAGAGTAGACTCGGCGCACTATAATTGTTCTTCACGTGCACAGTAGCCTAACTGAAATTTAAAACTGTTGAAATTTAAAGAAAAGGCTTAATAAACTATTGCAAAGATACTGTATAATACACAGTCAATATTGCTTCCTCACTAAACAGCTGTGCATCTGATTTTTACGATGTTTTTCATGAATGTATAACAACAATACAAAGAGCAATGTGTAACGTTTTACCAGAGATAGTGCTACACTTATTGTCTCTTATTTTTTCCCCACTAAGGAATGTTTTTTTTCACTAAATGTTCAGATTTTATAAAATTATTGTGCACTTGTGATTTTTCTAGGCTAAGTTTTTCTGAGTTATCCACTAATCTAGTTTACAATAGCATTTTTGTCATAGGTTATGGTCATATATATATTTTTTATTTGTTGTTTTTCTATATAATGAAGTTGTCTGTATTAAGAAGATTAACGCACAAAAGAGTTATAATAAACAAAAAAATGAAATAAATTTTTTATCCGATTAATCGATTAATCGAAAAAATAATCGTCCGATTAATCGATTATCAAAATAATCATTAGTTGCACCCCTAATAAATACACACACTGAGAGCACTCCACAATATATGTAAGGAATTATTGACTCAGGCCATTGAATTATTAGAAAAATAATGCACACTCGAGGTGGTAATGTGGCCACGACTTAAAGCGGAGTTTGTGCTTTTTTTTTTTTTTTCACGGATATTAATTCTTTTTTCAATAATTCAAAGTATAAGCGGAATAATTGACTCCGGGCCTATGGTTACCACACCTCCAAACATTGTTCAGTTGATGCATTTCAAGACGTTTGTCAAGTTTTTGTCCTTTACATTATTGTGTGTGTTACTAATTCCCAAACGTCATTTTAGAGCTAGTAACACGTTCAAGTTCAAGTTCATTTATTTATATAGCACATTTAAACAGCCGCTCAGACAGACCAAAGTGCTTTACAGAACAAGAATTAAAAACAAACACACAAACAAAAAAAAAAAAAAAAAAAAAAAAAGAAATAAGCATATCCCACATAAAAGGCAGCAAAGCTACCAGTAGCCTTGTCAGAGACCCAGTTATAACATAATAAAATACTTAAAAGGGGATCAGTATGCTAAAGAGAAAAGGTAGGTTTTCACCAAAGATTTAAAAATAGACAGGTTTGGGGCCGTTCGAATCTCTAGGGGCAGGGTGTTCCACAGACGGGGCCCTGCCACAGCAAAAGCACGCTCCCCTCTGCGCTTAAGTCTGACACGAGGGACTACCAGCAGAGCCTGGTCGTGAGATCTTAGGCTTCTGGGCGGAGTATAGGGATGAATAAGTTCGGAGAGATAGGCTGGGGCTAGGCTATGTAGCGATTTAAAAACAAATAGTAGGACTTTAAAATCAATTCTCTGCCGGACAGGTAGCCAGTGTAAGGACTCAAGAATTGGAGTGATGTGGTCAAATTTGCGACAGTTGGAAATGAGTCTAGCCGCAGCGTTTTGGACCAGCTGAAGACGGGCAATTTGAAAAGCAGATATCCCACAATAGAGTGAATTGCAATAGTCGAGCCTACACGTGATGAAAGCATGAACTGCCATTTCCAGGGTTGTCGGAGTAAGAAAGCCTTTGATTTTAGATAATAAGCGTAGTTGGTAGAAACCGGAGCTGATGACACCTGATATGTGTTTGTCAAGTTTTAACGACTGGTCAATGAGAACACCCAAATTTCGGACTCCTGTCGATTTAAAGGGGGCTAAGCTCCCCAAGTCTGGGCTTGAGCACTGAGACCTTTCGCTCGGGCTGAAGACAATGACCTCGGTCTTATCACTATTTAAAGAGAGGAAGTTTTGGGCCAGCCATGCCTTCACTTCCTCTAAGCATAGTAGAAGACACTTTAATGCTGCAGGGTCATTTTTCTTGAATGGAATGTAAATTTGGGTGTCGTCCGCATACAGATGAAATGATACACTGTGTTTCCTTAAAATAGTGCCCAACGGAAGCATGTACAGAGAAAATAGAGAGGGAGCCAGAACGGAGCCCTGTGGAAGACCACAGGTTAGAGGGGCCGTGGAGCTGGAGAAATTACCCATCTTGACTAAAAACTTTCTGTCGGAAAGGTACGACCGAAACCATGATAAGACAGAAGCTTTTAGTCCCACCTCAGTCTCAAGTCTAGCCAGCAGGGTAGGGTGGTCAACAGTGTCAAAAGCTGCCGAAAGGTCTAAGAGAATTAGAACCACAGAATCACCAGAATCAGTGGAGATTAAGATGTCGTTTAGCACTCGCAGAAGGGCAGACTCAGTGCTGTGAGCAGCCCTGAACCCAGATTGAAAAGTGTCATAAATACAGTTATTTAGAAGAAAGTGCTGGAGTTGATTAAACACTATTTTCTCCAATAACTTGGAGATAAAAGGCAAGACAGATATGGGTCGGTAATTTTGTAGAACAGATGGATCCAGTGAAGGCTTCTTGAGCAAGGGAGTGACCGTAGCCACTTTGAGATTAATTGGAACTGAGCCCGTGTTGAGACACTTGTTAATAAAGGATACCAAACCAGGACCCACAGAGTCGATTATTAACTTTAGAAATTTCGGCTGAAGGATGTCATTTGGACAGAATGAGGGTTTGAGCTTGGCGCTCACATCCTTAAGTGTCAGGAGGTTGATAGGATCAAAAACCTCCCAAACACATTTAATAGATGACACAGATGGGGGCAAAGTTATGTTCGGGCAGACACTAAGTCTTAATTTAGTGATTTTGTTAACAAAAAATCTCTGGAAATCTTCACATAGAGCATCCGAGGCGACAGACAATTTAGAAGAAGGATTTATTACAGATTGAATGACTGAAAACAAGACCTTTGGGTTGGAGTGGTTAGATTCAATTAAGTTAGAAAAATATGCAGCTCTAGCAGACTTAGCAGCCTTTTGGTATGCTGTAAGAGCGTCTTTGAACAGATGGAAGGAGACAATATGCCTGTCTCGTTTCCATTTGCGTTCGGCCGCTCTACACATTTGTCTTTGGTGACGAGTGTCAGAGTTTTGCCACAGAGCAGATTTCGGTTTGGGTTTGTGGGGCTTAAGCGGAGCAGTCACGTTAGCTACCCTAAGCCAGGCGGAGTTTAAAAGGCTGAAATGCTGTTCCGCATCCAGGTCAGGTAGTGGTTTGTCCAGGCCCAAATGTGAGCACAGCTCATCAAAACACATGTCAAAGTTAGTGCTGAACTGTGGGGAGTAGACCCGCGACATAACAGGAGCAATAGTGGGTTGAGAGAGCTCCGGAAGAGACAGTGAGAAAAGAATAGGCTTGTGATCAGAGAGCAGAAAATCTGAGAGTATAATATCAGTGACATCAATCCCGTGAGATAGTACAAGGTCTAATGTATGGCCCTGAATGTGCGTGGAGTTTTTGACCCACTGCAGTAGATTAAAAGCATCAATTAAGTCACAAAACTCCTGTGACAGGGAATTTGACTGACAACAGACATGAATGTTGAAATCTCCCACCAAAAGGAAGCGATCATAGCTTGTGGCAATATTGCCCGTGAATTCAGTGAATTGCTGTATAAAACCATTAGTGGAGTGTGGAGGGCGATAAATCACCCCTAGGCCGATGGGACCATTCCAGTCCAGGTGAAGAAGCTGAGATTCAAAGCTGGGGAAGGCCATTGCAGTGACTAGCCGGCAGCGAGGGGAGAAAGAGTTATTTAAAACCGTTATAATCCCGCCCCCACGACCACTCGGACGAGGAGAGTTAAAAAATGTACAGTTTACAGGAACCAGTTCAGAGAAGGGAGTTAAGTCACCGACCTTCATCCAGGATTCTGTGATGAACATAAGATCCAAGTTGTGTGTAGAGTAGAAGTCGTTCAATAAAAAGGTCTTATTCACTGCAGAACGTGCGTTGATTAGTGCCAGTTTGGGGGGAGGAATAATCACGTGGGATGCCGGCGCCTTTCTCAATGAGCGCAGATTTCCGAGATTAGCTCCGTTCTGCCGGGAGCAGCGGCCAGCACTGCGGAGATCAGCCCGAGTGACAGGACTCAGATGTAGGGGGAAGACAGGGCGAAGACATCGGTAATCCGCACCCCGCGGGTGCCAGGCAGCGGAGCTGCGCCGAGGCGAACTGCCAGCTCGTAAAAAAGCCTTCAGTTTCGTGGTGTAACCTCCGCGAGTTCCTCGTTTCCTTCTTCGCTTTCTCCGCGCGGTGTTAAGTGGCCACCGGCAGCAAAAATCGTGGCGGATAATCGATCGGGGAGGCTCGTCCGGGTTGTAGAAGGGGGGGCCCACGTCCACGGTGTAACAGTTCGTAAGTGAATCACCAACCGTGAATCGGATGTCAAGGAGAGCTTGACGGGCATATACAAGCCGCGAACAGTGGATAAATGACAGATCAGACATAAGGAGTAGCAGCAGTAGCAGACGGCAAGCCAAACACAACGGCGCCATCTTGCTTGCTCTATTCTTTTACAATAGAATGTTAACCCCCAGCGGGTAACAGCGGCTGAAGAGTATGAAAACTTTTCAGAATTTAGTGTGTAAATGAATGCGTTACTTACTTTTTCTTTGTTGTTAAATTTGCTACCAAATTTACAAAAAGAATTCCAGTCTGCAGTCATAAGCAACATCTGCAGATGTTTAAGCATATAAGATATTATAGGGATAGATATGGAAGTTAATGGGGCCTATCAACTGTTAGGTTACACATATTCTTTTGGAACAACCTGAGGGTGAATAAATGCTGAAAGAATTTTCATTTTTGGGTGAACTATCATTTTAAATATTAATAAAATATTATTCATGTTACAGACTGGATATGCATTAACCTCTTGGTTGCAGGTAGTCTTTGTCTCTTGTGTGTCCAAGGAAAACAGTTTCTCAGTCAGCTCCACCTTCAGCTCACTGTCCACTGGGGTGTAGTAGTCTCCGGGGCTGCTGGGCTGTTCAATATATAAAATACGCAAGACCTAATGTACAGCGACCAGTGATCAACGAAATATATGAGGATAAGAAGATTTAGTATTTGAGTTTACCGTAGAGCAGCTGCTCAGGCTGGAAGTAGCACTACTGGGAGGCGGAGCTTGAGGCACAGAGAAAGTGGCGGCCATCTTGGGCATGTCTCCAGCGTAGCTCGGCTTGTGGCCGTCATGAATAGAGTGAGAAACAGGAGGAGCAACCGAAGACACTTTGCTGTACATTGGGTGCTCCTCATACTGGGGCCCACCTGAAGAAAATATATGTATTGCAAGAAGTCAGATGTGGCTTAAAAACAGTGACAGAGTAATATTTCAGCCAGGGTGATTAACTAACTGTTTTTGTTTTTTTTTTGGTCTTTTTGAGACTACACTAGCTGATAACCCTGCACATGCTTGTCTCTTTAACACCGGTTATTGTTGGGTCAATTTAATAATAATAATAATAAACTGATTTCATCTCAATGCTAAAATAATAATAGGAAGATTAAGATTATTTAAATTCAATAATTATTGTCAGGAAATGTAGACACGATGTCCCTACATTTTTTTTTTTTTTTTACTGTATTTTAATTAAAAAAATATTTACTTTAATACAATACAAAATTAGTATATTGCCAAAAATATTTTGGAAATTATTTGTTTATATATTTTAGTAATTATTCAATATTTATTCATTATTATAATAATAGTTTATTGCAATATACACTATACCATTTAAAATTGTGAGGTATTGGTATTTTTAAAAGTTGTCTCTTATGCTCTCCAAGGTTGCATTTTTTTTTACCAAAATATACAGTTTTATTGTGAATTATAATAATTTAAAAGAATTGTATTCTATTGTAATACATTTTGAAATCTAAATTATTCCTCTGATGTCAAAGCTGAATTTTCAGCATCATTACTCCAGTCTCTAGTGTCACATGATCCTTCAGAAATCATTCTAATAAGATGATTTGGTGCTCATGAAACATTTCATGAAACATTTCTCATCAGTGTTATACAGATGTGTAAACAGTGATGCAAGTTCAAAACAACAGCATTTATTTGAAATATAAACCTTTTTAATTATAAATATCTTTACTGTAACTTTTGATCAATTTAAAATGTCATTGTAGAGTAAAAGTATTGCTTTTTTATATATAAAAAAAAACAAAAAAAAACTGCAAACTTCTGAATGGCCTATATATCTTTTGATATTTTGTTTTGACTTTTGAAAAAAAAAAAGAAAGAAAAAGAAACGAGCATGTTATTTCTTAAGTATTCAGCTGCTGTATGTTTAATTTGCTTTCTGCCACCCTGTTGCCTGTTCTCAGTACAATTATAAATCCCATATTGGGTCAAAACTGCAAAAAAAAAAAAAAAATAATAATAATAATAATAATAATAATATTAAGAGCTCTTTTCCAAAAAGCGATAAACGCCATTTAAAAAAAAAAAAAAAGAGTTTGTCGTGTCATTCTGCTGTGGACAGAACCCTTTCACTTCTCCATCAACGTTTCATGCCAAATCGCTATATTTCCTTGTTTAAAATGTACTGCAAGATACAGTTTCTTTCCAAGCCGCGATAAGCGCCAGCCCTGTTTTTAGCCTAAACACGATAAATCCTCAAATTCAATGAGCGCTCTACACAATCCAGCACGGCGGCACTCTGAACAGAGGTTTATTATGTTCATTCATTCCTCAAAATGAGTCCTAGTTTTCTAGTTGACTAGTAGTAGATCATTTAAGCCATTTGTATTATCAGTAATCACATATATTGATTTAATTAAATGGGAGAGAAACCATATGAGCGTTTTTAATTGCATATTCCGCATCTCAACGTATGCATAAAGCTTGCCACAAAGAACCGGCAAAAAGTAATGATTATGCATGAAACATTTGAATTGTTTATTAATAAACTAGTGTTTTCTGTCAGTGTCAGCAAAAAAAAGATAAAGTTGATGATGCTTACTCGCCATCTTCGCAGTGAACGCGCATAGGCCTATAGAAACGCATACTTCGAATTAGCCTACATACACAGAGAGTTGCCAATTTATTTTAGTTTTTAATTGTTTTGTTTAAAAGTAGATATTTAAAGCTTTCTGTAGCTTAGTTCTCAGGCCTGTGTGAGGCAAGCATCGCGGTGTTTCGGTTCATATTATGAGACGCGCTCCGGTTCACCTGCGCGCCTCTGTGTCCTGATTATATTGTCTGATATTTACTTCTAATTTATTAATCCAGTCAATTTGTCGATGAAACATTTATTAAAATGAAGATACAATTTATATGAAACGAAATTTACAAGCTTTCTACAAAACAAAACTTAATAAGTGGTCAAAATCATGTCTGACGCACTCCAAATATTTTCCGATATTGGGCAGCTTTTGAATTTTGATCCTATCTTACTCATCTCGGTTCCCTTTTCTTAGCCTACTCAACATAGATGAAATAATAAAAATAAGTAATGTAATATTATTAAAAACAAATGTGAAACGTATATTTTATGTTTATTTATTATTATTTTTTTTTTTTTACTTATATTTAAGCATCATGCTGCTCCGCTTTGCTCACATGTTAGTAGCCTGTGTGTGTGTGCATGTGCTGGAGGGGTGCCCATCCCTTTTTTGAATATCGTTTTCATATATTGATCATTTTTAATAATTCGGTTTTTTTTTTTCATGCATATGTTGAAATTGGTACTATTTGTTTGAGGTTTGACTCTTTACTAAAAATGACTTTACTAAAAATGATACAAAAAATGGATGGATTTATAGCGTTTTGGAAAAAAATAAAATTAACTTTTAAATTATCATTAACAATATTGTTGTTTGATTTAATAATTATTGTTCAAAATGTTCAGACTGAACCAATAAAACATTTAAACAGGATAATTTGAATATTCACAAAATGTGTGGGTCTAGGTAAAAAATGTAGTTTTCCTGAAAACTATTGAAATGGATTTATAGCGTTTTGGAAAAGAGCTCTTCATATATATATTGTTCTCACCAAAGTCAAGAGAGATGATTGTGTCACCGGGTGTAGGTGCCAGCTGGGTGAGGTCTTCGGGCTCCTCTTTGAGTTTGGTGAAGAGCGCTTCACCAGGATCACTGCCCATGGCTCTTTTACTTGGACTGAAGAAACTGTTCAAACTGTGAGGCTTGAACAGAGACTCAGTCTGGTCCATAGAGAAGACCATGGATTTCTCCTCAACGTCACTATGAAAAGAAAGCACAATTGAAAGTTGATAGCTTCGTGTGTCACATCGCATACAACACTGCGGTGTAAAAGTGAAGATGAGAGAAAAAGGACGAGTTTTGGGTTGTGTGAACATTCATCAAACGTTCTCCTTTTATGTTCCACAGAAGAAGAAAAAATCATAGTCTTCATTTTTGGGTGAAGCATCTCTTTAAAGGGATAGTTCACCCAGAAATGAAAATAACCCTGTGATTTACTCACCCTCAAGCCATCCTAGGCGTATATGACATTCTTCATTCAGACAAATTCAATCGGAGTTATCTTAAAAATGTCCTGGCTCGTCCAAGCTTGGTAATGGCAGTGAACAAGTCCATACAGTAAGTCAATCCAGCATGATTAAAGTGCCCCATGGGTTCTGGGGAGTGAAGCGATGCATTCATTCAAGAAAAATATCAATATTTAAAACTTTACTTACTACAATAACTAGCTTCCGACAGGCAGCCGTACGCATAGATTTACGACGAAACAGTGAGCCTTGATGCACGGCGAATGTAGAAGCGCAGAGGATAGATCAAAACAAAAAAGTAGTCACGAATTAGGAGTCTCAAACGACAATTTTTAAAGAGAAATGTTGGAGGAGCTTGAGTTTGTTGCCCAGTTCTGTTTGTTTGAACCGTGAGAGGTGTCAAATCTTCCGATACTCTTACATAATACACTGTACATCATTAAGTGTTACTTTTTTGGCGCAAGTCCACCTGCGTGGGCATCTGCCGGAAGCCAACTGTTTTAGTCAATAAACTTTTTAAGTTTACATTTTTCTTACACGAACGCGTTGCTTTGCTTCAAATGGCCTTTTTTAACCCCCTTAGAGCCGTGTGGAACATTTTTAACATGGATGGATGCACTTTGACGGAACGAAACAAAGCTATTCACTGCCAAAGCTTGGATGAGCCAGGACATGTTTTACAAAACTCAGATTGTATTTGTCTGAAAGAAGAATGTCATATACACCTAAGATGACTTGAGGGTGAGTAAATCATGGGGTAATTTTTATTTTTGGGTGAACTATCCTTTTAAGCTGAATTTTTTTGTCTTTAATTGGATTACAAGTCTTGATGAGCCTGAGAACAGAAAGTGCAAATGCTTTACAAACACATCCCAAGCTTTGTCACCTTTCTTTTTTTTTTTTTGCCTTACCTCAGGACGTAGTTCACGCACACAATGCACTGGGGCTGGGAGTTGCGACTGTTGTAGATGACGGTACCCTGGGTCTCCACCCACACATAGCCGCCATTCTTAGCCAACATCCTGTACTGACCACTCACCGCCTGGCCTTTACTGCACACTAAAAAGGAAAGAGCAGAAAGTAATATAAAAGCCATTTTTAGAACACAAATGTATTTTTAATTGACTTTTTTTCCCCAATTTTGTACTGATTTGTTTTGATTGAACGGTCGGTCCAAATGCTTTCTCAGAGATCTCCAAAAAAAAATGTCTAATGACTAAGTGGGTTTTTGGTAGCTATAACAAATTGGGACAGACAGCCAGACCCATCAAGGGAAAGCTAACATAAGCAACAGGACAAACAGAGAGACACAGACAATGAGGGACTGCTGGTCTGAGTTTTGATAGTCTGTCTCCATGGCACGTTCACCCTGGACTCGGTCCAGATCTGTCGTGGGAAAGCATCGGCTTCAGGTCATACGGTTCATTCCCGGCCTGTGCTTGCACTGCTCTGCAGGGCGGCAGCATTGTCGTAGAAAGCCTTGCGATTTCATACATGCGGTTGGAAAGGACGTCGCATTGAAAGATGTATTGTAGGTAGGTTCTAAGAAGAGGCAAGTGTCCTTGAGTCAACAAGCTCGGCCCCACTAAATATACATTTACATGTATGCATTTGGCAGATGCTTTTACACTAAGCATTGCAATACAAGGTACACATTTACATTCTTATCAGTTCTTGATTTCCCTGGGAATCGAACCCATAACTTTGGCGTTGCAACCACCAACGCTCTACTGTTTGAGCTACAATAACTTTCATTTATTATCATGCATATTGTTTAAAAATATAGGAAAGATATTGTTCTTTGTACACTACCATTCAAAATATTGTCATCAGTACGATTATTTTTTTTTAAATGTTTTTGAAAGAAGTCTTAACTCACCATGGCTGCATATATTTGATCAAAAATATGGTATGATCAAAATAATATATGTAATAATAAAATATGATCAAAAAAAAAAAAACAGTAATATTGTGAAATATTATTACAATTCACAATAACCGTTTTCTATGTGAATGCGACAAGACGTAATTAACTCAAATCACGATTTCAGAATTTGTGAATTGAACAATTGTTACATTTCTGACAGCACATGATGGCACCAGGAGACCAGAGTTATGTCGTTATTTTCTCGCCATACTCTCCGTCTGCGTAATTTATAAACACACAATTATTATGAACAGTATGCATATGTATACATATACATATTTATTTACATCTATATATAAGGGATGGGCAACGATTAATCGCATCCAAAATAAAAGTTTGTGTTTACATAATATATGTGTGTGTAGTGTGTAATTAATTTGTATATATAAATACACACACATGCATGTATATATTTGAGAAATATTTGCATGTATATACTTTATATATATATATATTTACACATAATTAGTATTATAATTATGCAAAAGCCTCTAAATGCCATTTGAAATTTTCTTCTTGAATGATGATTTTTATCAAACTTGTATATTTAAGTTCAGTAATTTCACTTAAATAACAATTAATAGGTAGTCATCATTGCCATTTAAGTGAAATCACAGACTGGCTAGGCCACGCCAGAACCTTGATATGCTTCTTACAGAGCCACTCCTTGGTTATCCTGGCTGTGTGCTTCGGGTCATTAGCCACGTTTCCACTGCCGTGCCAGGGCCAAGCCATGCTAGTGTGTGCCAGGGCCAGTCGCGTTTCCACCGTCACTTCCGTGGCCAGGATTTCTGGCCCGTCGAATATCTTGGGCCAAAGCGGGCCAGCTCGGGCTAGAGGCGTGCTCAAGGTAAAAGGCGGAGTTTATCGGTGTTATGCAAAGTTATGGTCTGAAGCAAGATGCACATTTCACTTTTTTATATCGCACAAAATAATCGCTGCTCGAAATGGAGAATCACCTGTACTGGTATGTCGAAAATACCAAATCTCTTCTGAGCATTTGGGCAGAAGAAAGGGTACAACGTCAATGCGACGGCGTGTGAAGAAATGAGGACGTTTAAAAAAAAAAAAAAAAAAAAAACACATCGATGCCGAACTTTCTAAGCTAAGCATTCAACGAGCAACGCTTCAAGTTCAAGAAAAAATTAAAAAAAGTTGCTGGCGCAGTATTGTACAAGGTGATGAAAACGCACAATGGACAAAGCGGAGCTCAGAAAAAGGAACTTGCCATGGTTCGACTTGATGGACGATGTGCTGGGTCACCGTCCCTCTGTTAGTGGCGACTCGCGAGACAATCAGGACACTATTGGAGCCACGGCCGGTGAGTTAATATACATGCTATCTTCCTAACTTAAAAAAATAAACAAATTCATAATGCCGTTTGATCAAAAAAGGCGTGTTAGGGGCGGGGTTTAGGGCAGCGCTGCATGGCTACTGGCCCGGCAGTGGAAACTCAAGCCCGGTGCTTGAGGCCCGAGGCCACTGGCTCGGCTCGTTGTTAGCCCTGGCCCGGCCCTAGCCCGGCAGTGGAAACGTGGCTATTGTCATGTTGGAAGACCATCTTCAATGCTCTAACTGAGGGAAGGAGGTTGTTTTACCAACAGTAACCTTGGAAATGGTGGTCCCAGCTCTTTTCAGGTCATTGACCAGCTCCTCCCGTGTAGTTCTGGGCTGGTTTCTCACCTTTCTTAGGATCATTGAGACCCCAGAGGTGAGATCACAGACGCCAGTTAAGGACGATGTAAGATGATGTAACCGAGTGGTGTCTCATTTCATAGGGGTATGTTTGCACTAGCGCTTACCACTCGGTTTCGAGGGACAAGGGCTAGGGGTAAGACGAAGGGGAAGGGGTAAGACAGAGAATTGGGATTCAGCCTAAGTATTTGAGGGTCAGAATTCTAGCTCATAGACAGGTGTTCAAATACTTATTTGCAGCTGTATCATACAAATAAATAGTTATAATCATACATTGTGATTTCTGGATTTATTTTTTTAGATTAAGTCTCTCACAGTGGACATGCACCTAAAATGACAATTTCAGACCCCTCCATGATTTCTATGAGGGAGAACTTGGAAAATAGCAGGGTGTTCAAATGCTTATTTTCCTCACTGTATATACACATTATCTGTGCAGTATTTTGAGCTAAAACATTACATACACAGAGACTTATTTTACATATTTGTACTTTTTTAATGATTTTTGGTTTGTACATCTTTACCTGTAAAAACAAAGAATGACTGTGTAGATGCTATCAGAGGCAAATCTTATGAAGATTAAATCAGAGCAAAATTTCTCTCAAAAGTGAATGGGAGAGAGTGACAGAAAATCCAGAACCATCGGCCTGGATGAAGAGTGCTTCTAAATGTATATGCATTTCCTATAGAGGATTATAACATTCGTAAGATTGTGTCTTCATCTATGGGAATGGTTGTTGTTGTTGTTGTTTTTTTTTTTTTCTGGTTGTTTGATAAATGATAGAAGTTCTTAGAAAGTTCAAGAGATAAAAATGAGCTGGTGAGAAAAAAGAAACTCTTAGAATTCAAGAGATGAAAATGAGCTCTGGTGAGAAAAAAGAAAGAGACAAATAAGTGGATTGAAACTCAAAGTCACGAGGCAGCCCCACTTTCTTCCTCTCAACAAGCCTAATCCAGATCAACACTTTTTCTTCCTCTACACACTTTGAAAAGACTCTAATTACATGTTAACGTCACAGTGGACAGAAGCCACTCCACATCCAGCATCTGATTATGGAGTAATCTGGGACACCTGGCCAGGCTGAGGAGCACCGGAGCTGCCTACTGTTCTTATCTCCTCTGTCACTCCTAATGGGGTTCAAGATGTCCTAATGGCTGCTACGGTCATCCTTAATAGAGCCAATCCAATAAGGCTCTTTTGAATCGTATTCATAACTCAAACGTGTATGCGAAATGCAATTTGTTTGAAATGCAATTTGATTCGGGGGGTGGGTGGGGGTATATATCTCGTTGTTTGCTGTCTGCGGACAGTCTGTTTGTGAACGTCAACAGATATTAGGTTTCACCTCTGCTTAGCAAGAAAGAGAAAGATAAATGAAAGCTTAAAAGGCAATTAGGTGCAGGCAGCAGGATGATGTAAAAAGACGAGAGATGAATAACTGGCTGATATGTATTATGTAAGCAATAAGGTACGAGAGGCTGTGCTGAACACACTCATCGGTCAGACAACTTACTATGAAATATACAGTATATATATATATATATATATATATATATATATATATACACTGTATATGAAGAGTTCAGATGCAAAAGCCTCTAAATGCCATTTGAAATTTTCTTCTTTAATGATGACTTTTATCAAACTTGTATATTTAAGTTCAGTAATTTCACTTAAATAACAAAGTGAAATTACTGAACTTAAATATACAAGTTTGATAAAAATTATCATTAAAGAAGAAAATTTCAAATGGCATTTAGAGGCTTTTGCATCTGAACTCTTCATCTCACAAAAATGGTTGACACACACAAAAGTACCCCATTAATTTAACTTGCACATCAATTGTAAAAATATGAGTAATACCGCTGATAAGGTAAGGTAATTAAATAGCAATCCTAAACTAGTTTTTGTTAATACAATGTTAGTAAGTTGGTATGAGCCATTATAGTCATTTAAAAATATGCAAAATAACACAAATTGAAAATAAAGTGCCATTTTGGGGTTATGGAAACAACAGTTACCATGGTGAACACACAATACCAACATTAACTGTTACATGAAAACTGCTGCTGATGAATAGAATGAACATCATTTCTGCATGCAAACACATGCCGTACCAGTAACGTGATTCATTGGTATTGTTATTTCGTGACTTGCTAATTGACAGGATAACTACGACACTGCATGCTCATAGTTTTTTTTTTTTCGCTTTATATATAGTGAAGTGATATACAGAGCACGCCGCCGCATTTGCACATGCAATTGAAGAGTGTGCGCTATTAGCGTACTATAACAAATAAAGTTCATTTTTCTGAAGTAAGAATATTTATTTCGTAAAAAACTACGAAAATAACGTTAGATTTATGACACTGACGTATACTCTGACAACATCTCATCAGACAGCAGCTACTGAATCAGTACAACGACACAACAAGTGTCAACCGCTTTCAAGTCTTTCAAAATAAAAGTCTTGCATCAGCAAAACATTTTGAATTACGTTTTTTTTTTTTTTTTTTTTTTAACAACGTTGTTTATTTGAATGCACACTCTGCGACCCACTCAAAATGATCTATACAGGTGGAGCTGGGGAAGGTGGAGGGTTTCTGAAAGTACATGAAAGTTGAACAGCAAGCGCATTGGCTGCTGATACAGCAGGAAACAATTAATGTGATTGCAAGCAGATTGAGTTTAGGACCTATCAGCATTCGGCATCTAGAGTTTCATGACAGAATCTCTGCGCTGCTTTGTGGCAACTGGGATAAAATAGAAAGTTCAAAAGAACAGCATTTAGAATAGAAATCTTTTGACCATGTGAGCCGCCATCTTTAGAATGTTGTGTTTGAACTTCCTTTTATGGGGCAGCTCATTATATTTATGGCATAGGTGTCGAAGAGAAGTTACTTATCGTAGAGTTAATGAAAGTTATCATGAGCATTGTCAAGTTTGAAGCGGAAGTCATAAATGTCAGCAGACCGGGAAGATTTCAAAACAAACATTCATAAATCCATCTTACCTTCATGCTGTGGAAATACAAGCTGGAAGACAGAACACAACGAACGCAGCGCTGAAAATGGTCGGGGCTACACAATGTCTATGAATGTCTTCACTGTCACTTTTGATAAATTTAATGTATTCTTGCTGAATTAAGTATTAATTTCTTCAAACTAAATATTTTATGAATGTGCAAAACGATTAAAGGCAGAGAACATTTCTGATTGGCTAAAAAGTGAGGGCAGCCTCCCAATTTTTTTTTTATTTTTAGAGAGTCTAGGACACAGAGACAGGTATGATATCTCACATATTTCAGTGACATCTGTCATTTAGTAGGGACATTTTATGCATGGTATTCTGAATAAATACTTGTCCACAACGGACAATGGATGGGATTTAGAGTATTATAATACCACTGGGAAAAGAGGTCAATAGCTTTATGCATTCAGAGCGATATAGAGATTGCAAATGTGTACTTGCATGTGTCTGCATTCGTGCAAGTACTGTACATATACTGTATAGACATGTTGCTGTGAAGTTTCAGATATCAGACTGACTTGTTCTGTGTTGAAGGGTTGAAACAGTAAACCTTGGGAACGCAAACCTCGCCACCTGTGCTGACCTGATCCGCTGCTCTTTCTTAGAAGCTCTTGCTTTCTAAACACTCTCTCTAATCCTCTTCCCCGGTTCGCTCACATGGCCTCGTTTGATGCACGCAATCGTAAGGCAATGTTAGGACTGTATGTGTTTTGTAACAGTCAGAAGATTAAACATGAATGTGTTCAAATCCCAACAACACCTACAAGTAGTGTGAACTTGTGAAAAAAAGTTTGTAGTTTTACAGAAGATAAGTGCTGAAGGGGGAAATTAATGACACATACGGTTCTGGTGGCTCTTGGTGACGTTGTCGGAGTCCAGAGCGTGGTAGAAGTCATATGCAGATCGACCGAGAAGATCTTCAGGACTGTAACCCATCAACTCAGTAACTCTGGAAAAGTGAGAGGCAACTAATATTAATACAGACATTAACACACACACAGAGAATTGTTCTAAAGCTCTCAGCTATTTTCTTTGATCTGTACAAGATTAGTAATGTTTTAAGCCAATTTAATAATGATCCATTTCATGTGATTTGTTTCACTTTGGATTGAGTTTTCGGAGACCTGTTTTCTGAGTATAATTAGAATTTATGAAAAATCAGACACACACACACACATATATATATATATATATATATATATATATAGACATACATACACACACACACACACACACACACACACATATATATATATATATATATATATATATGTGTGTGTATGTATACTGTATGTATATAGTGTATGTACATGTATATATATATATATATATATATATATATATATGTGTGTGTGTGTGTGTATGTATGTATATATATATATATATACACATACATACACACACACACACATTTTGGTATATATACACTTCTATAACAAGTTATAAAGGATAATATGCATATGACAGAATATGGAGACTGTTTAAGGGGAAAAAATTACATGATCATTTTGCACTTTTCAAATTAAATTAGACCTGGTGAAAATTAGCTCTGTACTAACATCTTTATAAATGTACTAATTATGAATATAATAAATATATTTATTGTTAATAAAATCTATAGTTCTGACAATTGTTTGGAGAGCCACACTTATTGCTGATAATAACCACAGACAAGTACACATTTTTCATTAATGAAAACAGTACTACATTGAAATAACACTTATAAATTATTATTACAAAATAATAAAATATTAGTTATTAAAAAAAATGAATGGCTTTTTTAATATACAAAAAAAAAAAAAAAGCTACATAACATTTTCCTCTTCATGGTTAAAGTCATTTTTTCTCTTTAATCAAGAACACAAGGCAATGTGTGATTGTGTGTAATGAATGTGACGGGTATTATTTGGTTCTGAAAGTGTGCGTTTGGTGTATTGAGCTAAAGTTACATAATGCCAGACAGCTGCAGGTCACTGACTCTGTATTCATGAGTGTGTCTGAAGGCTTCTGTTCATTAAAGAGCCCTCTATTCTCCTGTCATTGAATTAACCACCTCTGAGCAGATGAGGCAAAAGACACACACACACACACGTGTGGTGTTGTTGTTGTTTTTTTTCATCATCTACAGTATGAGAAAAATGAGAAAACAAGTTTGAAAGCTATTTTGAAATACAACAAATAGGTTGTTTAATGAAGGCTTTGGACTTCTCTTTCCATAGACGCTGTGCACCAAAAATGAAATAACCACGTTTTAGACCAATCTTCTCTAAATTTGTGCACGCTAACATCGTAAATAATGACCATAATTACCACTGGATATGTGGTTGAGTGAGTGAAATGACCCTACTTTTCTCTTATTCTAAAGGTGACATAAGTCAGAGCTCTTCTAGGAAGCAGGAACTGCTTCTATGGAAATTTTCAAGATTTAACCAATCATTACGTCCATTACACGTCTCATCTGGTCTTTAATATAATGCCGTTTTCCCAGTTTTTTTTCCCCATTTCCTTATGTAAGCTTCACAGACAAACAGTCCATTATCCAACATGTATACATGGCACTATATTAATAAATCATTATTTATTATTATTATTATTATTATTAATTAATATTAAAATATTACTCCTACAACTTAAACATGTTTTCAGTGTCTGACTTAAAACTCATTTAGACTTTGAGACTTTTTTGAGGAACTCCCAAAAAACTTTATAATATTAATAATAAATAAAAAAAAATATATATTTTAGGGAAAAAAAATCTTGTTTAAAATAGTCCTCACAAATCTTATATATAAATTTAATATCATAAATATCATTAATTTTTTTTTTAACAAAATATATTATCCATTTAATATATTTATACACAGTATTATAATTTTTAGTAGATTATCATGAACTTATCATGAACGTGCATGTTAAAACAACGTGCCGTATAAGATCCCTTAATGCCTCCGTTTGTTAACTTTATTAGCAGGGAAGCAGGTTTAGAGTTTTTGTCTGGCGTTTGGATTATTTGGCGGGACATTACATCACAGAAAACATGACGGCAAACACTAAACTATGTGTGTACTGTGTAGGGAATAGTGAGTTAATTGTCGGAAGAGTCAAGATGAAAAATAATGGTGTAAAGTTCAACCATGCCTGTAATGTTCAGTGATGCTACTGAGAGTCAAACACTTCGACGACAACACTGAAATGCTCGGGCCTGGAGTGTCAACCGCATTTAACTTGGCCAATTAAGTGTTTCGCTTTGTGCTCATTTACATATTTGACCTGCTGCAGATGGTGACTTTTATATTTTGGCTCATGGAACGTATTGGTGTACTTTTATTTATACATCATCATTAGTTGTAAATATTTTTTTTATCCTACCACTGTTGTTATTGCTAACTAAAACAAATGAATGAAAAATATTTTATTAATTAAAACAAGCTGAAACCAAATATAAAATTAAAAAACCTAAAACCACATTTACCTTAGGCAACTAATTGAAATAAAATAAGTTTAAGCTTAAATTCAAGTAAAATTTAAGTTAAAAAGAAACAAATAAAAAAGGAAAAAAGCACATTTAATAAATTGCTTATTTAAGAATGTTAAATACTACTAGAATTGCATTCAATAGAATTTGAATTACTAGAATCTTAAGAGTACTCTTTATTGATGGTGTGTAGCATAATAAATTAACAGTCATTAACAGGAAATGTGCTTGTGTTTGGCATTTACTGTATGAGTGACTCCAAAGTCAATTCATAAAACAATTTCCTCAAGAATGCAGGTTTGTGTGTTTGGAGAGGAGAGTTACCGGTCATCACAGTAAGTAAACTTCATGTCCATGCTGTGGCGGCTCAGAAATGCCTTGCTGTCGAGCGGTGTGTCGATGTTTGACGGATGGGCAATGGGCTCGCACATCATGACCACACAGGTGAGCGGCGGCTCTTTAAAACCACAGAGCACTCGTGTGGGACAGCCGTTACACACCTTCAGGTGCCCTGTGCAGTGCAGGACCTGCAAGAACAACCAGTCCCTTTATGTGCAACAAAAAGTCTGACTCCAGGTCAGCGCTTGTCCTAAAAGAGAAGTTATTCACCTTCCAGCCGGCTGACTTGAGGTTGACTGTGCGCCCGCGATTCGTGACTGTGCATTTCATTCTCATGAAGAAATCCCTCTCAGTGTTCAGCTCCTTGCCTTTCTTTCCCATGCCTGCAGATTAGCAAACATTTACTTAGCTATCTAAATGAGGAAATTCCATAGACATAATGGGTTTCATACTGTACAAACTGTATACTCTATCGCCATACAGTAACCCTACCCATCACACAAAACTTTCTGCATTTTTAAAAAAAAAACTTTAATTACTTCATTTTTTTATCCGCTTTACAAATGGCGAGGTTTTTGGTCAAACATTTGTTCCCAAAATTCATACACACGTTAGAAATTGGCTAAAAATCCCAGATAAGCGTTCCAAACATTCTTCTTGTGTGCATACAGAAGCTTAAACTCAAATTATTATTTTTTTTTCTCCTCGGGTTCTCAAATTCCAAAACACTTTCGGCTTTTGATATTATTGCTTTTATACAAATACATTTGTAAGCTAAAACCAAACATAATAAATAATAATGTTATATCATTTATATAGCATCTTTCCTGAGCTCAAGGGCGCTTCACCATAAATCATACAGTCATACAAAAAAAATCATATGGACAATCGCCTAGCAGATATGCATTAAGCGGTTAAATCCAAGTCTTGCTAAGAGATACAATCAGTTTGTCTGATGAACAGATTTAAATTAGGCTTTTATTTACGACGACTTTAAGACCTTTTCGGATTACAAAACTTGGATTAAACCGATTGACATCATTGGATCTTCTACGTTTTGGTTACCTGGACTTTTCAATGGAAGGAGAGAAACCTTTTTATGTTTCATTAAAGAATTTTAACCAAAGTATGTTACAAACTTCACATGAAGCCCCTAAAGACCGGAGTCTTATGGTCTTAAAGGCTTATGGGTTTGGAACTGATGTAAAAAATTGAGAAACTAACCCCAAGAAACATTGTGTTCTACAGAAGAGAGAAAGTCATACAGGTTTGGAATGACATAAGGGGAAGTAAATAATTATTAATTTTTAGTTTTGGGTGAACCATTCCTTTATACAACCCAATTCCATAAAAGTTGGGACACTGTACAAATTGTGAATAAAAACAGAATGCAATGATGTGAAAGTTTCAAATTTCAATATTATATTTAGAATACAACATGGATGACATATCAAATGTTGAAAGTGAGACATTTTGAATTGCCATGCCAAATATTGGCTCCTTTTGGATTTCATGAGAGCTACAGATTCCAAAAAAGTTGGGACAGGTAGCAATAAGAGGCCAGAAAAGTTAAATGTACATATAAGGAACAGCTGGAGGACCAATTTGCAACTTATTAGGTCAATTGGCAACATGATTGGGTATAAAAAGAGCCTCTCAGAGTGGCAGTGTCTCTCAGAAGTCAAGATGTGCAGAGGATCACCAATTCCCCCAATGCTGAGGCAAAAAATAGTGGAGCAATATCAGAAAGGAGTTTCTCAGAGAAAAATTGCAAAGAGTTTGAAGTTATCATCATCAACAGAGCATAATATCATCCAAAGATTCAGAGAATCTGGAACAATCTCTGTGCGTCAAGGCCGGAAAACCATACTGAATGCCCGTGATCTTCGGGCCCTTAGACGGCACTGCATCACACACAGGAATGCTACTGTAATGGAAATCGCAACATGGGCTCAAGAATACTTCCAGAAAACATTGTCAGTGAACACAATCCACCGTGCCATTCACCGTTGCCGGCTAAAGCTCTATAGGTCAAAAAAGAAGCCATATCTAAACGGGAACCAGAAGCGCAGGCGTTTTCTCTGGGCCAAGGCTCATTTAAAGTGGACTCTAGCAAAGTGGAAAACTGTTCTGTGGTCAGACGAATCAAAATTTGAAGTTCTTTTTGGAAAACTGGGACGCCATGTCATCCGGACTAAAGAGGACAAGGACAACCCAATCAGCGCTCAGTTCAGAAGCCTGCATCTCTGATGGTGCCTTTCCAGATGTGTAAGCTGCCCATGCCACACGCACTCATGCAACCCCATACCATCAATGCTGAAAGGTATATCCAAGTTCTAGAACAACATATGCTCCCATCCAGACATCGTCTCTTTCAGGGAAGACCTTGTATTTTCCAACAAGACAATGCCAAACCACATACTGCATCAATTACAACATCATGGCTGCGTAGAAGAAGGATCCGGGTACTGAAATGACCAGCCTGCAGTCCAGATCTTTCACCCATAGAAAACATTTGGCGCATCATAAAGAGGAAGATGCAACAAAGAAGACCTAAGACAGTTGAGCAGCTAGAAGCCTTTATTAGACAAGAATGGGACAACATTCCTATTCCTAAACTTGAGCAACTTGTCTCCTCAGTCCCCAGACGTTTGCAGACTGTTATTAAAAGAAGAGGGGATGCCACACAGTGGTAAAAATGGCCTTGTCCCAACTTTTTTGAGATGTGTTGATGCCATGAAATTTAAAATCAACTTATTTTCCCCTTAAAATTATGCATTTTCTCAGTTTAAACATTTGATATGTCATCTATGTTGTATTCTAAATATAATATTGAAATTTGAAACTTCCACATCATTGCATTCTGTTTTTATTCTCAATTTGTACAGTGTCCCAACTTTTATGGAATTCGGTTTGTATATCCACATAAAATAATATCTATCATCCATTGAAACATCAAGATATTTCAAAGCCCATGAGTTCAGCCTTAACGACAAAGTCAAAATCATGAGGTCAGAGTTCCACCACTGGTCAATCGTTCATCAACAGCTGCTGAAACAGAGGGTCTTGGTCACAGGTGACCACATGACATTCTCAACAGCTCGACCAACAACTCAAACGAGACGTGCTGCAAAGTTTCATCATAATGAAGGTGGCAAACACCTGAAAAAGCACAACGAAACTTGACCTTAACAGCACAGAGGAGAGAGGTTGAAAGAAGCATACAGAGAGGGGTATGAAAGTGTGGAGGAGGTCAAATAAAGGATACACAGAATAAAAGGAGAAGCGGTTGTGGGTCTGTTTTTGAAGGCATGATTGTTTTTTCTTCACATAGCTAATCCTCTCCTATGAAGCCATGTGTTTTCTTTGCATTGGGCCTTTACACACTTGTTTTTGTATTTATGAAAGTCTGTTTATAGAAGAGCATTTCTTGAGAGGCGCATGTTACGTGTAACTCGCATAACTCACTCCAGCTCCTCTAAGAAGATTTAAACTGAAGTGGTTTTACGCATAAAGGAGAAAAGCCCATAAAGCCCGGAACACACCAAGCCGACGCCAACGAACTAGCGCTGATGGAAGCCGACTGTGTTGTCGCCTCTCGTCGAGGTAAAAAGCTGCACTTGAACACACCGAGAAAACTGCAGCCGACTGTCAGCTAGAATGTGTGTTCTGCGCCTGCGTTTAATGAGCCAACTGTCTATTTCTGCAGATATATTAGTCTATATTTGTCATTCGTAAAGGAAAACCGACGCTGCCGGCTGCAGATACACACACCACAAACAAAGCAGCGCGTGCTTGCCTTTTTGAATATCAATCCTGCTGAACGCTTTCTTTATACCACTCCGCTCATGTTAATATTGAAATATTCACACTCAGGTAAGAAGATGTAACATAAGAACAGCCTTCTATCTTTACCGTTTTGACTTCTTTGCTCGCTGTTTTGCTTTTATTTTTCTTAATCAGAGTCAGAGCCAATCAGAGTTCTCTCTTTCCCCAAAGAGATGTCGAATCGGGCGAAACAAAGTCGACGAGGACTATTTTCAGCCGACCGTCGGCTTGGTGTGTTCCGAGCTTAAGAAGGCTTGTGTAAGAAAGTAGAAGTTAGTAGATGAAATAATAAAGTAGATGTTAGACGCAAAGGTCATGCTGAACTATGCTCTGAAATGTTGGATGTTTTCAGACTAGAGCTTTTGGTTGGTAATTTAGAGTTTGGTTTGTTTGGTTGGTGTGAATGTGGTTTTTCAGCACCAGCAAATTGCCCCTAAGTCCATTTAAAAGAAATAAATAAATCAATAAACTTGGTTTGGTAAAATGTGAAAGACTCAACAGCAGGGGTATTAAAGCTGAAACTAAAACTTAAAAAAAGTTTATATATATATATATATATATATATATATATACACACATACATACATACATGCATATATACAAGTAAATATATATAATATATATACTGTATATTTATTTAATATATGAAGAGTTCAGATGCAAAAGCCTCTAAATGCCATTTGAAATTTTCTTCTTTAATGATGATTTCTATCAAACTTGTATATTTAAGTTCAGTAATTTCACTTAAATGGCAATGATAATTACCTATTAATTGTTATTTAAGTGAAATTACTGAACTTAAATATACAAGTTTGATAAAAATCATCATTAAAGAAGAAAATTTCAAATGGCATTTAGAGGCTTTTGCATCTGAACTCTTCATATATATATATATATATATATATATATATATATATATATATAAAGTAAAATCACTAAAAGCCTTCCTTCCGCTAGAAAAATAATAGTCCTCGACCGTGAACAGCAACAACAACGTTCCAATATAATATGCATTAAAATAATATGCATGTGTAATATGCATGAAAACTCAAATAAAAACGACATAGGAACTGCAATGTTGCGCAGTGATAAATAGAAATGATGCATTGGGTGAAGCGGTCATAGCCGTGTTTTATCATGAATAGAATCAAGGATTGAAACTAATCGTTTTATAAATATACATAAACTACAAACAAAAAAAAAAGTAAAAAAAAAAAATCACCTAAATGAAAAATACAAACTAATTCAACCTATTAATAAAAACTATAATATTATCTTAAAGGAAAATGACACTGCTCAACTGAAAATGGTCTTCTCACCGAATGAAAAAACTGAAAATTCGAAAAACTTGCGATTTACACTCATTTAGTCGATGTAAATTTTTGCCATCTCCATCTCTAAGTTCTACTCATCTGCATGTGTTCATTGACAAACTATGTTGGCTGAAGTGATTATATTTCTAGTTATGTTTAACACATTCTTCCATGCAGATTTTCTCATGAAAACATCACAGAAATGTAACAGATTTTTGTCAGGGCCTGTATATAGGCTGATTTCTCCTTATCACTCTATTTATGATACTGTACATACAGCAGGATATAAAACTAGTGAGGCTGAATAAACAAAAGTGGCATACCGGCTTTGAGGCTGAGGTTCTCGCGGATCTCTTCATGGTCACAGGGGTGAGTGAAATCAAAGATGCTGTGTCCTGTTAGTTCAACCTACAGAGAAAGACATGCAGACGACGTGTGAATCCCATGAAATCTTATAACATCACTGTTCAAAAGTCTGGGGTCGGATTTTTTATTTGAAAGAAAAATCATACTTTTATTCACCATAAAGGACATATTACAAAGTGATCAAACGTGACAGTAAAGTCTTTTATAAATGTAACTTATATGAATGACTTTAATAAAATAGGTTTCTAGATCACCAAATCATCAAATAACAATGAAGTAAAGACTTTAAAAATGACTGCGATCACAGGAATGAATTACATTTTAAATGGTATTCAAACAGAAAACAATATTTTATATAATTTTCAAATATTGCTGTTTTTACTGTAATTTTGATCAAATAAATGCAGTCTTGGTGAGCATAAAAGACTTTTCATAAACACTAAAATATTAACGACCCCAAACCTCTCATCAGTAAACAACATGAATTATATTTTATAATTATATTTAGACTCCGTGATTCATTATCTAGATTATTTTAATGACCTTTTGCCCCAAAATATCTTAACATTTCTTGTGATTCCCATTATTTTCAAGGTTGATTTTCATTTAGTTCCTATAACTATAATACAGTAAATGTTTTATATCATAAAAGTACAACAATTCTGTAATTCAATGACATGCTTAAGAATAAATTAAAAACTGTAGAACAAATATGGCCATAATGTATAGTTTTTTTTTTTTTTTACATAATAGACCATTTTGTATTTTACAGCACTGAGAATTGTTATTTATATTTTGTGGTGAAATATGACCCGTACAGGTTCTTGACAAGTTTTATGAGATTCACAAACATTACGGACCTTTGATCTTTATTATAATGGACATTTATCTGATAACAAATAGATAACAGGCCACAGTTCTACAAAACGGCAGCCATGAGTAAGGAAGCAATTGGCAGCCAGGAGATAATTCCAAGAGCTTCTGCAAGGGTCCGAAAAAAAGTGACACATCCTTCCTCCAATAGAGTTCTGGAAGGAAACGGGCTTGAGCTGTGGTTAATAATGGCATCTCGTCTGCCTGTGATTAATTAAACCCAGTGGAAATGAATGCTCAAAAGACAAACAGCTAATAATAACGTGACTATCTGTCTGCGTAGTGATTCCTTTCACTGCACGTGTTGCTGGGCCTCTGATACTCACCTGTGTGAGACCCATGAATTTGTTGATGTTCTCTGATAAGAAGATCATGTCTCCGTCTGATGTGACCACAGTAATGAAGCCGCCCAGTGACTTCAGATACCAACTGTCCATCAGTCGGTCTACGTCTGTCGTCTCTGTGGCAGGAACGCAACCTGCAAAACGGCACAAACACGAGTTTCAGAATGGATGCGCGCATGCGAGTGTGCGCACACATGCTAGTCTTGATCTGGCTTTTAAATGGCTGATGTCCAAAATAAACAACAGCAACTTCATCCTGCTACTCTGAACCCTCCCAACACTGACCTCCCTTCTGTCACTGCCCTCAGCTCAACACACACACACGGTTTGCTATCTTTGTGAGGACTCTCCATAGACGTAATGGTTTTTCATTTTCAAAAATACTCATTCTGTATGATTTATAAGCCTTTGTACCGATTGAGACCGCTGGCTGTGGGTGATCCAAAGTTTTACTATCACACACACACACACACTCTACAAATACCCACATATATGGACACACAGACACCCACATGCCCTGCTGTATGATGGCACCAAATCTGTTCATTCCAATTTGAAGAGAACAACTCCAGCTGTTTCCCTGCATGTGGAAAACCCACATCTGGGAGAAACATATGAGAAGGGGTTATGCAATCTAAGACAATATTTGTAGTTTTGCTACTCCGGAGATCACACGCACTTTTGGAAAAACACAAACTAATACAGGGTAATGCAAATATGCATTATAATGTAGAGTAAATACTCTAATATAAGCGTATTAAATTTCTGATACAAAAAAAATATTATAATAATAATAATAATAATAATAATAATACGGTGAGGTATTGAACCACATTTAAAACATAATTTTTAAAATGTTTTAAACTCTTATTTTTTTAAAGAACCAAATTACATTAACTAGTAGACCTGTCTGTATATATTATTAAATTATAATATGTAATTGCTTGAAGATTTTTTTTTTAAGTTGATAGAAATGATAATTTGGAAAACCCGAAATCCCTGACCGGTTGGTAATACCGCCACTAAAATGTGTACGGGTTGCCAGACTTTGGTTTGCCAGTACTGCAGTAGATCTGGCAGAGCTTCAGGAGGGAGGCGGAGTGGACAAGGACAAGGAGAACAGAGCGGCTCCACACTGGGGGGTCGGAAGCCTGAGATTGCTACAGTGTGCTTCCTCCAGATAAGAAACTTTCTCAAGGCCCATTGAGAGCCCAGGACTGGATTAGAGCCGAGCCTAGAGAACGTGGCCCCGGGAGAATTAGAGTTACGTCTTTGAAGGGGTTCTTGCCTTGAGGCTTTCATTTTGAGATGAAACAAAACTGCACCCAAAATTGGGGTTTCAGAAATTGATCATCTGGAAGAGAAGTCAACTAATCTGAATGCATTGGTTGCTGAAATGCATTCAGATTAGTATAGGGTGCACGATTCAGAAAATGTCACGATTCGATTCGATACCGATTTTTTGTCTCGAGATTCGATTCAAAATCGATTTTCGATTCAAAAACGATTCTCGATTCAAAAAACGATTCGCAGGTCTACATAAATGTAGTTTACTTTTTCCTATGTGATTGATTGCAGTAGACATAATTTAAAAGAAAAGTTTGATATTACTTTATGTATTCATACAAAAATAAAAACTTTTGCAACTAAAAAGTGCGAAGTGCCAAGCTTTGGCCAGCTTTTAAATACATTTAATTCAAGTTTAAAATAAAACTGGTAACACTTTACAATAAGGTTCATTATTTAACATTAGTTAATGTATTTACTAACATGCACTAACCATGAGCAATACATTTGTTACTGCATTTGTTCATCTTTGTTAATGTTAGTTCATGAAAATACAGCTGTTCATTGTTTGTTCATGTTAGTTCAGGGTGCATTAACTAATGTTAACAAGATTTTAATCAAGTATTAGTAAATGTTGAAAATAACATTAACAAAGATTAACAAATGCTGTATATGTGCTATTCATTATTAGTTCATATTAACTAATGTAGTTAACTAATGTTAACTAACGAACCTTATTGTAAAGTGTTACCATAAAACTTAAATAAAAAGCTTTTACATTTAGCTTTAAAGTGCTATAGTCAGATCAAACAAACAATTATGCTAAATGTGGTTTAAGGAGTAGGCCTACTTCAGCTACCAGGTTGACTGTTGAAATGTGAACTCGACTGGGCACATTGAACTTCCTAAAAATATATACTAATTTCATAGAACCCTTGCGAAAATATTTTAAATAGATTTTAAAAAGCCACCGCTACTGGTAACATCTATGGTTAGATTGATTTGTTTACATCCAGTGAAGTCGTTCATAGGCGCGTAATTTGCGGGTATCTCCAGTTAACTAGCAGAGCATTCATTTAGTTCGCTATTAAATAAGAGACCTGTTGTTTTTGAAATCAAGCTGAGCGCTCGTGTCCGCTGCAATCAGTGTCATGGATACAGTGTTCTCTGTGGCTCACGCAGTCTTCTCTCGGACGCGCGCTTCAATCTATCGCCGTTGTGGAGACTCCGGTGAAATCACAAAATAAAATGCGCACAAACGTGATGAACATATTCGGTTTTGATGAGAGAGAGAAAAAACTATACGAGTGCGGTTTAGAACCCGTAACCTCTGACACGCTTGGCAAAAGATCTACAGAACTCAAACATAAGATCTGCGGATCGATGCATTTATTTACGGGTTGAGCAGAGTGGCTGCACAGTTTGACCAGCGGGCGGCAAGAACTTGCAATGACTATTTATCAGACCGGCCCTCGCAGCCTCGAAACTATAGAAACACTACCGGACCACCGGTAAAAGTCCCGACTTACCCGATTGCCACTCCGCCCCAGCACGCCATTAAAAAATATAGCCTATGAATCGATTTTTGGAATTCTATGAATCGATTCTGAATCGGTAAAGATTGAATCGCGATTCAAATGTGAATCGATTTTTTTGCACACCCCTACTAATTAGTAACACGCATCAACAAGGGCAAATGATGATCTGAGCTGTAGAAATATTGACTATTGATCTCTCAAGATTATGCAGAACATCTGGAAACTCTTTTTAGTCCACCAAGATTACAAGATGTTTTGCTTTACATAATATAGAGCTAAAAGGTATACAAACAAAACAATACGACACATCACAAAGCCCAACATCAAAACTTCTAATCAACACAAAAACAAAACACCTAGTAGCAACACAATAACAAAACCTAAACAAAAACAACAAAACTCTAAATTACAAAAAAATAAAAATAGAAAAAACCAAGGTATACAAAAAAAGGTACACAAACAAAACAATACGACACATCACAAAGCCCAACATCAAAACTTCTAATCAACACAAAAACAAATCACCAAGCAAAACAAAACAAAACCTAAACAAAAACAACAAAGCTTTAAATGACAAAAAAGCACCAAGCGACACAAAAACAAAACCTAAACAAAAACAACCAAACTCTAAATGACAAAAAAGCACCAAGCGACACAAAAACAACAAAGCTCTAAATGACACAAAAACAAAACACCAAGCGACACTAACAAAACCTAAACAAAAACAACAAAGCTCTAAATGACAAAAAACACCAAGGGAGCAAAAAATCTAAACAAAAAACAACAAAACTCTTAAATGACAAAAAAAACCAAAAAAAAAAAAAAAAACACCAAGGAACCAAAAAATCTAAACCTAAACAAAAACAACAAGACTCTAAACGAAACAAAAACAAAACCTAAACAATAACAACAAAGCTCTAAACGACACAAAAACAACACCAAGCGACACTAACAAAACAACACACCTCTAAAATGACCAAGGGACCAAAAAAAAATCTAAACCTAAACAAAAACAACAAAAATGATGTGAAAAGATCATGTTTTGTTGTAACACTAGGCCTATTTGAGACTGTAAAGAATCCTAATGGTAGTAGAGAGATGGTGAGTCATTGATTTCAGTGAGATTATGTCTTGTCAACCACTATTTCAGAACACATTTTGGAGCCGCCCATGGGCGAAAAGAACGAATATAGATAGCATCAAGAGAATAACCGAATCAGTTCTAAGCCTCAGTGCAGCAAGAGTGTGGATCTTACGTAAAAAAAAGGGAGTTTCCCATGCACCCTCAGCACGGGTAGGGTGATGGCGAGAGGAGGAGGGGATGGATGGATGTGCGGCGCCAGGGTTGGCCTGTGTTTTGGCTGGCCTGCGATGGAGAGCGCCAGCCTTAAAGAAAGCACCAATCAAGCTTCCAGCACAGAGCTCGCAGACCTGCTGATAACACTATCTGATGTACCATCTCTTACTGACAGGGCTGCTTTTCAATGTCTTCTTCCCCTCCCTCCTCTCCTTCTCTCTTTCCAATCTGCATGTAGCATGAACCTGAACATTTGACAGTCAAGCCACTTCAAGTCCAACAGTCAAACCTGAAGGACTGAAGGAACCGAGCCGATTCTGTTCTAACTGCCTATTAATTGAGAGATCCCTGTCCTTTTAGTGTCTGTTGCAAACACAGAATGGAATGTCGAACGCAGGAGCTCCTTTGTCCAGCTTCCGGAGATTCTAATTTTATAAATCAAGACACACAAACAATACGAACATGCTCACATCCTCTCGCCATACCTGCTTTAGACAAAGAATCTTTCAAAAGATCTGGGGCCTGAAGTAGAAATGTTGCGGACGCACAAAAAAGGCATTGAAATGTGCGCATGCACTTTTCCATTGACAAATTGGGATTTATAAAATAAATAAATAAACAGTGTGTGCACACTAGACCCTTTATAAAAGAGAATTTGGCACAGGCACAGGTTATGTCATAAACATGGTTTTATAAAACATAGTTCAGACAAAAACTTACATACAATCATCATTTTTTCACTCTCTTGATTTCTTTCCTTATGAGTGACACAAAATTGGATATTTTGCCGAATGTTTTCTTGAAATTTGAATGCTATGGTGGAGTGAAATATTTTCAGAAAACATAAAATTCTAAGCACTTCTTTCAGAAGACTTGGCGAACCTAGTGCACAACTTGTATGGATTTTTACGATACTGTTGTAGTTCTTTTATACACTTTTTAGGAGTCTGGCAGTCTGAATAAGAACAAAAGGAGCATTGTCAAACTTATGCTGAACTTCTCATTTAGCGTTCTATGGGTGAAAGAAGGAAAGAAACCCATACTTGTTGGGAATGACATGAGGGAAGTAAATGATTTACATTTTTGGGTGAACTACCACTTTAAAAAAAAAAAAAAAAAAACACACTCTTGAAGCTCACCGTACCCAATATTAATTACACTCTGTAGGTTTTCATTAAATTGTTTCATTCATCACATGCAATCTTTGATTTGTAAGATTAGCACCTACAGCTAAAGATAATTAACCCAGACAGAGTTAAAGCAGGTCCAATATTCACTAACACAATTATATCCTTATTTAAAGCACCACCTCATTTGTATAACAGTAACCATAATGCAGTCTGACATTTCCTCATAACAGCGAACCTAGATAAACGATCAAACTAAAGAGAGTTTCGAATTTGATTATCATCAGAGTGTATATTTGCAAAGCGACTCATACTTTGACGTGACATCTTTGATGTTGCGCTAACAGTGGAGTCACCCATTTGATAACCGTTATTATCAAATTGCAAATATAGCTTTACTAATAATATGCACCAGTCAGTGGCTGTTTCCATCACCATCATGTCCTGATTTTGATGAGTTAGACGTGCTCTTGGGTAAACAACATATTTTGTTGATCCTGTAACAACATTCCTATCCCAAAATGCAATCCTAACCATATCCCACTCTACCCCTAAACCTAAACCCCATAAGTTATCCCTAAAATCAGAGGGAAATGATGTAGAAACATGTAACTTTCAAACCTAAACTTGACAAACTGTAAATGTATCCCTAAAATCTGATCATTGAATGGAATGTTGATCCAGGAATGTTGCACTTGGTGAAATCAGGTTTTGCATTACCATTCACCTGCGCATTTCAGGATATCACATTTAACAAAAAACAGGCTGGATGGAAACAGTAAGATGCAAATCAATTGTAAAATGCACATAAAATCATATGCGCTCAATTGAAAATGAAAAAAAAAAAAAATAATAATGATCTGATAAGAGGACGTGCATAAACTACGATGGTAACGCATTACAAAATATATGTAACAACAATCTTGCATGACTTCACCTCAACAGTGGATGTGACTGGATGCAAAGAATCTCAAATGTTGGTTTGATCATTCTGAAATCCCTGAGCCAAAGTCTGTCATCAGAATGATTTAGTATGACCTCTCAGAAGTGTTTGGGATCTCCCAAATCCCACAATTGCATTCTCAAATACCAGCATCGGAACGAAAGATAACATGACAGTGTGTACAGCGTTTCGTCTGCGCGCCCTGAGATGCAAGTCATTTATGATGATCTGTAACAGCAACTTCCATTTTTAGCACATATCAGTTGTGCCAATTTCCCAGGGAGTGATGTTTTTGTTCTCTTGAACACATGGGATGAAAACACTGCTTTATTCGCAAATATTTTATGCGATATTCCAATTTAACGGAAACATTAAAATGGAATAATTCATTATTGCTGAAACAGTTATAAAAAATGGCTGATGAATGGCAAGATGGGGAAAAAAAATCATTATAAAAACTGTTTTATTTGGTCTTAACAAAATAAAATGCATTTAAAAACTAGATTCAATCGTTTCTGCCGATATCAAATCAATGTTGCGATGCCCAAATGTAGCAAATTACTATTAGGACTACATATTATTTATTATGATTAAATGCAGTACAGAATATTTACTCAGCCTAGTCACACGTGTGCATTTGGATATGTACAGTACCTGAGGTGAAGAGTTTGCGTGTCCGCAGGAAGCTGATGGCTAGTCTCATGATGGATGCTTTATCCAGGTGTGAGCTGATGTTGTGTGGCAGGGGAAGCTGGTGGGCAACTTCGTAGAACACCTCCGTCTCCTTACTGCGCCTGCAGCGCGCCGCATCACGAGACTTCTCCTTACGCCGCTCTGAGCTGCACCTACAATATGGAACAACGTGAAAATGTGAGTTTGTTATTGAATAACAAAAAAAACAAAAAAACAAAAAAAATTCCCCCTGAAATGCTATATAGTGCAATATGCAAATATTTCAACAGACTAAACATAAATGAAGGTCAATCCCAGAGAAAAGGTAACATTTTTCACTCACAGAGGGTTAGTTTACCCAAATATTTTAATTAACCCTTGATTTACTCACCCTCAAGCCATCCTAGTTGTATATGACATTCTTTCAGACAAATACAATCAGTTATATATATATTAAAAAAAAAAAAAATTCCTGGCTCTTTCAAGCTTTATAATGGCAGAGAATTACTGTTTCTGATTTGAGGTCCATAAAAGTGCATCCATCCATCATAAAAGTGCTCCACACGGCTCTGAGGGTTAATAAAGGCCTTCTGCAGTGAAGTAATGGGTTTATGTAAGAAAAATATCCATATTTAACATGTTACAAGTAAAAGTCTAGCTTCCGGCTAGACGGCCATACACAGTCAGTCTACTTGCACCTAAAGTGCAACTTGCGCAACTTGTGACGTCAGACGTAGTACAAAATATCAGCAGTACGTTGCATTACTCGCATAAGTTGCGCTTTAGACTTAAGTTGAATCTGTATGTTCCTTTGCCCGGAAGCTAGTTATTTTACTTAATAAAGTTTTAAATATGGATATTTTTCTTACTCAAACTGCTTCATTAACCCCCGGAGCCATGTGGAGTTTGTTTATGATGGATAGATGAACTTTTAACAAGACAGGACATTTTTTAATATAACTCTGATTGTATTCATCTAAAAGAAGAATGTCATAGGATGGCTTGAGGGTAAATCATGGCCTATTTTTACTTTTGGGTGATCCATCCATTTAAGTCTAGTCAATGCATTGATCTGGGCATAATTAGTTATGGGTGAATCTCAATAAAACCATTTTTATTTATTTTTTCAGCTGACCTTGACATGCTTTTGACAAGTGTTGCGCCAATCTCTATATTCTCCGTCTATGAACACAGAGAATCTCAACCCATTTATTTATCCATATACAAGTTTTTCAAGAGAATAACACTCTCTTTGTGCCCTTGACAGTCTTTCTTATTCAACTCAAGTCACTCTTGCAGAAGCAGACATCAGTCCCAAAAACTGGGCCAGCGGAGAAAGAGCCAGTGTCCGGCAGGGGCAGGTGCGAATGAATCCACACGCACACAAATTCTTGAACATCAATGTGAGGACATTCATTGACAATGCAATCTCAAGCTCCATACTATATGACTATAACAATATTAGAACCCTAATTATAATTAACCTAAAACAAAATCTAGACCCTCAAACAGGCATTTAAATGGGTCTTAGAAAGTGCGGACCGGCCAAAATGTCCTCACTACTCTCTTTGTCCTCACTCCGATGGTCTAAAACCCAAACCAGTCCTCACAAAGACAGACACACACATGCACAAATGAACGAACGCGGTTTTATTAATTATTGGACAATGATTTTTATACTGTACAAACTGTATTTTACATCCACCGACCCTACCCATAAACTAGTTTGTTGAATTAGTGAATAAACTTAGAACAAACAGGCTACAGCTCAAACATATGATAAACTGTGTAAGAGAATAAATCAGTAATAAATGACACCGCAAAATGAACTCATAACTTTGTACTATTTTATTTATTCTAGTCAGCCCAAACTGTCAGGAGCAGATGGGTCAATGCCAGATCTCAAGTGGGACATTCCTGGCTGGTTCAAGTGCTTATGGGAATGATCACTTAGCTACATCCTGAATTTAATAAACACAAATATTGTTCCAAATTAGAACACATCTGTCCCATGAAGAGATTATTTACAGGATCTAGAATTTATTTCCCATTTATCTTGTTGAATGTTGACAACTCTCTGATTACAGAACAAATAATTCAATTCATCCATCCATCTTGGCAACCAAGACTGGTGGAATTTATTTCTATGACATTGATAATCTATAACCATATGCATATTTATTTATCTCTGAAAACAAGAAATCAGGTGCGAGTCTTTACTTTCCACAACTATCGTGTTGCATTATACAATTTTATTATTATAATTAAGGAAATTAATATTATAATAAAAAGAACTGTAACCATCTTATTTAATGTTATATTGATCATTTTTATCATTTTCAGTTAAGAGAGACAAAAAAAAAAAGCTGTAAAAAAAAAAAAAAGCAAAAAGTGTGCTAATCATGCATTTGGAGTGCCTTGAGCTGTGGTTTGTGGGTCACTTCAGAGAGCGAAATGTATCACCACTGTAACTGTAGCATAACACAACCCCTATGTGCAAGACGCTAAATCACAGTTACACCAAAACCTAAACAGATATTCATTCATCGCTGAAGAACAACTAAACAACGAGATTGTACACTTAACAATACAGAGGTTGAACCCCCTTTTGCCTTAATTCTTCATGGCATGGATTCAACAAGGTACTGGAAATATTCTGAGATTTATTTCCATATTAATGATACTATCATGATTTGTCATCTGCACATCTATGATGTGAATCTCCCGTTCCACCACATCCCAAAGGCGCTTTATCTATTATGTTGAGATCTGGTGACTGAAGAGGCCATTTGATTATAGTGAACTTATTGTCATGTTCAAGAAACCCGTTTGAGATGATTTGATCTTTGTGACATGGTGCATTATCCTGCTGAAAGTAACCATCAGAGGATGGGGACACTATGGTCATAAAGTGATGGACGTGGTCAGAAACAATGCTCAGGTAGGCATTTAAACGATTACAAAGCCCAAAGTGTGGCAAGAAAATATCCTCCACATCATTACACCACCACTAACATGAACCGTTGATACAAGGCAGGATGGATCCATGCTTTCGTGCTGTTTAAGACAAATTCTGACCCTAACATCTGAATGTTGCAGCAGTAATCGAGACAATCATTTCCGATCTTCTATTGTCCAATTTCCGGAGTGGCAGCCGGTGTGTTCCTCTGCTGCTGTTGTCCATCTGCTTCAGGGTTTGCCGTGTTGTGTAAACACAACAGATGCTCTTTTGCAGACCTTAGATGTAACGAGTGGTTATTTGAGTTACTGTTGAGCTCGAACAGGTCTGGCCATTATCCTCTGACCTATGGATTCAACAAGGATAGTTCCTCTTTTTCTGATGGTTCTCTGTAAACCATAGAGATGGTTGTATGTGAAAATCCCAGCAGATCAGCAGTGTCTGAAATACTCTGACAGTCCATCTGGCACCAACAACCATTGCACGTTCACTAAAATCACCTCTCTTTCTCATTCTGATGCTCAGTGTGAACTCCAGCAGATCGTCTTGACCATGTCTACATGCAAAGCTCTGATGTTTTTAAAGAATAAATTGTTTTCCTTCATTAAAGTAGTTCACTTTTAAAAATACTTTTGTTGATAATTTACTTCATCCCCATGTCATCCAAGATGTCCATGTCTTTCTTTCTTCAGTCGAAAAGAAATTAAGATTTTTGATGAAAACATTCCAGGATGTTTCTCCATTTAATGGACTTCAATGGGAACCAAAGAAAGTTTCAGTGCAAACTGTACAAAGGGCATTAAACCATTCCAGACGATGAATAAGGGTCTTATCAAGCAAAACAATCGCTCATTAAAAAAAAAAAAAAAAGTTGAAGTTTTATAAGCTCAAATGCTCAGCTTGCTGTGTTCTGTGATGCTCTGTTCAGTTCGTGACTCCTGTTCGAATTCGTTTATCAAAATGAACGAATCTTTTTCCGAGTCAATACGTTCATTTCGTTCGTTGAATGAACCAAATGACACGAAAAAAGATTCGTTTAATTTGATAAACGAGTTCGAACAGGAGAGTCACAAGGCTGACAAGGCGCGTGCATAACAGAACAGAGCAAGGCGAGCATTTGAGCTTAGACCCCTTTTGCGCCGACGTCACAGTTACGTCACGGCGCTAGCTGGAGGCAAAACAAAGTGAAAACTGGAGGCGGCCAATGCAAACCAGCACAGATTTGGCTACATAATAAGGAGCTTAAATTGCTTTTATTATTATTAAATATCATCTTATTGTGTTGTTTGGTGCAAGTATCAATGAAAAAGATTTATATGCCCTCAGTTTCTCTTTGCGATCGGTTTCTCTATAAGGTAGGTGTAGAAGTCAGGCCACTCACCCGAGGTAACGTAACATTAATCCCATCAGATCGTCCATGCATTGAGTGAGCTTGTGAAGGCTACGGGTCGGCCAATCTGGTTCCGTCCGTTAAAATTAACTTTTGAAAATAACAATCGCGGCCCTGGACACTGAGTGACCTTACACATTAAGATAAAATCAGATTTTCTTCAGTCATTGTTAAAAAACAAGCTAATAAAGCTTGCTAACTAGTGTTAGTGAAGCGGCCAGAGGGATCGTTCTGCCTCCGCCCACATAAAAACGTCACCATGTTTACCAACTGAAAAGAGGTCTATAAAACTTTATTTATTTATTTATTTTTTTAATGAGCGGTCGTTTTGCTTGATAAGACCCTTATTCATCGTCTGGAATCATTTAAAGCCCTTTGAACAGTTTGCACTGAAACTGTCTTTTAAACTGATTGGTTCCCATTGAAGTCCATTATTTGGAGAAAATGTTTTTCAAAATGGTTTGTAATGTTTTCATCAAAAACCTTCATTTCTTTTCGACTGAAGAAAGAATGAATATGACATGGGGGTTGAGTAAATTATCAGCAAAAGTTTTTTTTTTTTTTTTAAGTGAACTACTCCTTTAAGTATTCATCTTAAATAATGACAAACAATATAAAACAATTCTTACATTTATGGTTATAAAAAGTCAGTAAAGATTTGATATGCAAAAACAATTAATTAAAAAATATTTCAAAATGTAGGCAAATCATTAATAATCCAAACATTTTATATGTTCTACTTTCCTGCAACACAACAAACCATGCAGTTCTGAAGTTTGTGTTCATTGTATCGAGGGAACACATCAATGTGACAAGAACCTATT